GTAATGTTGCTTCAATCTTTCAACGTTTTTTTTAAATGCACACTAAAATCATCACGGGTACACTTTCGACATAGGACTTTAGAAATGGAGTGACAACAGACACCTTTAATGAAATATTACTTTTTATATGAGTGTTAAGTGATGCAATCTAATCTTATTCGAAATATTGAATAATTTAAATATAGAGTAACATCTACTAGCCGTGTCTAATCACGTAAATGAAAGAAACTGGTTAATTTGCACACAGGGGAAGTACTTTATGCGCTAAGTGTATGAAGAATGAATCTTTAACACATTGATAAGAAAAATGGTGGTGATTGAAGCCAAAATTACGGGTATTATTAGGGCCAGTCCTGGTACAGGGCAGCCTGGGTTGCTGCCCAGGGCCCACTAGGAAGAGGGGTCCATAAATTATTTAGTAATAGTAGTATATATATATAGAGTTATGTTCACCTAAAGCGCCCCTGACCGAGAGATTTGTATGGGCGAGCCCGTATGAGGTACTTTTGAATGGATTTTTTTGATAAAATTTTGTGATCATGTTGTTAATTGAATATACATTATGTCCATAAAACTTCAATGCAATTTCAATTGGGAAGTCTATTGATTAAATTATTGAAAAACACTGCGCTTTAGAGATATAAAAAGTGCAGTGTTTAAAAATAGCGAAGTGTTTAAAAACACAGTGTTTTTCAATAATTAATTTAACTAACTTTCCAATTGAACTCTAAGTTGAATTTTTATAGCCATAACCTACCCTTCATGAAAAACATCCTCATAAAATCCTCATAAAATTTTATCAAAATATTTGACCCTTAAACGGGTTTGTTTGTTCGGAATATATGGTCAGGTGCGCCTAATTAGATCATTTCTTTGTACTCTAATACTCAATAAAAGATATCCCTCAATCCTCATATCCACAGATAGGGGTGGGCGCGGTCCGGTCCGGTCCAATATTTGGCCGAACCCGTACCCGTACCGTTACTATTCAAACGGTTCGGTTCGGTTCGGTTCGGTCTTAGACCTAAACCCGTTCGGTACGGTTTCATTTTGAAACGGGACGGTATCATGCCATACTAATACCAAACAATGCCACTTTTTCCAAATGTTTAAGAGACAATTAAAGTTTAGTCGTCCTCCAAAAATCTACACAATTTATCAATTTTCATACTCTTTCCATCCCAAATTGACATGCAAAGTCAATATTTTTTGGTCAACCAATGTTAGAGTTTTTTTTTTTTTTAACCAATGTTAGAGTTAAATTCTCTTTATTGATAATTAATTCAATTTTTAATAATTAAAATAAACATATTCAGAAACTACATTGAAATTTCTTCAAAGTTGCAAGCTCCAAATTAAATATAATTAAAAATTGACATTCCAGTTAAGTGAATAAAATGAATCTGTTTGACAAAAAAAAGTTAATTTTGCAAATCAATTTGGGGCGGAGGTAATATTACATAATTAATAAATTTCAGATAAATTATACTAGTACAAATTTAAATGATTTAACCGTACATCGGTCCGATTCCAGGCTTCCTATTAACTAGCAAAGACGGTGAAAATGTAAAGGCACTAATCAAAATAATGGTATAAATGTAAATTTAAATAATTAAATCATACTTCGGTCCGGTTCGGTCCGGTTTCGGTTCTCATTTTATGAGAACCGGTCATGGCATTGTTTAGAATCGGTACGGTTCGGTTCGGGACAAAAAAATTAAGATCCGTTTCAAACCCCGTTTTTCGGTCCGGTACCATATCGGTTCGGCTCGGTACCATGCCGGTTCGGTATTTTTGCCCACCCCTATCCACACCACAGATTGAGCCATAGCGGCAGAGCTACACTCGAAACACGATTAGATGACTTTCTACCTTTCACTGAAGTCGAGAACTAAAAAATGATAGTATTATTAACAAGTTTGTTTCTGACTTCTGAGAATCCCAAAGAAACTGTTTTGTATGACTTATGAGATCGAGTAGTTTTATGGACAAAAAACGTTAACCAGTGTAACACTGTAACAAGTATTATTTTGACAATGAAACTTTTGTCACACACTCTTACAACATATATAATTAGGGGCCTATTATTTGTCTTTTGTCCCGGGCCTATAAATTGTCAGGACCAGCCCTGGTTATTATAAGCCTAGTTAGTATCCAATCTATGTATAAAAAATGAATCCTTAACACAATGATAAAAAAAGTTGCATGAGGAAAATCTGGGAGTGAGGGAGAAACATTCAGCACACTTCTTTAAGACTCACGAAACATGTGTATCACACACTAAAGGCTGGTTTGATTTGGAAATTTTGGAGGTAAATGAAGGGAATGGTTGATTTTTATTTTACTAATTTATTCTCAGTATGAATTTTTTAGTTTTAAATAACAAATAACTACGGTGTATATAATTAGTTAGACCATGTATTTTATATATCATTTTATCTTCACTTTATTTATTTTTTACTAAATGCAAAAATTATTTTAAATTTACATATGTCATCTTTCCATCCCTTCCCTCCGAAATTCCCCAACCAAATTGGCCCTAAAATCCGTGAGGCAAACTTGTCTATAGCAAGCCAACTCATATTTAGGATGTTTTCTTTTGGACAGTTTTCAGTCTCAGACCAGACCAAATCAGACTTTCATAGTTATAAAATACACAGAGATCAGATGTTTACCATATCAGATCAGACCAGATCAGTTCAGACCAGACCAGATCAGTCCAGACCAACAAATAGTCCAAAAGAAAACATCCTTAGGATGTTTTTACTTGGACTGTAATTTATCCCAGACCAGACCAGGTCAGACCAGGCCAGACTTAGATAGTTATAAAAATACAAAGAAACCAGACCAGACCAGCTGACCAGACCAGCAAATTACAGTCCAAGTTAAAACATCCTTAACGGGAAAGGAAAAATGAGATACTATTAGCACACTTCGTTTTATTAGTTTTGTTTTAGTTTGTTTTTTTGGGTTAGAAGAGAACAGGAATGATAAAATATAAAAGTAAAAAACACTTTAATTTAAAATTTTCTCATCAAAGCATGTTGTTTTATTAATATAAATTGTTGGGATATTAGGTCCAGGCCCAATATCCCTAGGCCCAAACCTGGGAAGAAGCAGCAGGCCCAAGGCAGTCCAAAGAACTCCCGAACGGCATTCGGGATAAAGCTTCTACTTGGAACATTCCAGGAAACACTTACGCCAAAGTGCCAATGCCCAGATACCGATCGGCGTTCGGGATACTTCCATAACAAGATAACACCTATGGCGGGGTCCCACACACCGAACACCTTGCCCGAACGGGCAGTCAGCAAGTGGAAGCCGCATTTAATGCTGGATCATGACGGCTGCAAGTGGGGGCATGAGTGCTTACATGGCAGAGGTGACAGCCTACCAGATTCGCCCACGTGTCCACCTTACCCATCCCCATTTTAGTATAAATACCCATGTTTAGATCATTGTAAAAGGTTAGCATTTTGATACTCAGAGCTTAGCAATAGATTTATATCTCTTATCCTTGTATTCTCATAATCATCTACCGTTCGGGTAGTTCCAGTGTAATAGCATAATTATTGAATACTAGTAAGCTCCTGAGTTGGATAATATCTCACTGTTTTATATTTTATACACTTTTCAACCCAACCCAACATCCCTACAATATCCAAGGCTTGTGTTGGACTTTCGGATCTTCGGGAATAAACCTCAACATAAATTATTCTCAAAATATATGAAGACAAAAATTTTAACCAAACAATTAAGGTTTAATTCTTAGTAATAAAATATTGCTGAAAAGAACAAATTACAGAGTAATTTTAATTGATTATCTCATCGCGTATTTAAGTCGTCTGCAAAGAATTCTACCCGCCGCTAGATCAGAATTGTATTCCAAGGCGGCCACCATGACTCTTCCAATTGACATATTAATTCATAAGTCCACATTAACGCAGTAATTCTAGCTATTGTATACGTAGTACATATTAACATATAGTATCATACTCCCTATATAATAGCTGATTGCAAACGCAATACCTCAGTATATCTCATTTTATTGATATAAAGTATAAACCATAAGAGAAATCATCTCATCAGGCCGGCCTGACGGGCTTCCCCGTCCGGCCGAGCCCGTTTGGGCACCTTCCCGGTGGAATTTTTTGATGAAATTTTTTGAGCATGTTCCTCATCAGTTAACTTGCAAAAATCATTTGACAACCTTCCCGATCGAATTTTGAGCTGAAATTTGGTATGGACAAACTAGACTTGATGACGAACATGCTCAAAAAATTTCATCAAAAAATTCCACCGGGAAGGTGCCCAAACGGGCTCGGCCGGACGGGGCAGCCCGTCAGGCCGGCCTGATGAGAAGAGCTCTCTAAACCATAATTCATAAGTCAACCTGGGATCTCATCATATTTTTGATATCCTCTTACAATAAAATAATTGTCACTAATCATTTACTAGATTTTCTCAAACGAGGAGGACATCTTCTAACTTCTAAGGAACAAGATGTACATAACTCATGCAGAGTCGAAGCTGGTGGATGAAGAGATGAAGCATAACAAGAGGAGTGGCTTTCGAAAGAGGAAAAACCCAATGTAATTTTTAAATATGTTCAAAATATATTTTATTCATTTAAAGCCTATTTGTAGCACTAAAATTGACTGTATTGACTGACTCTGCTGTAATTTATGAAATTCTGACTAAAGTGACTAAATTGATTGGTTCTGCTAATTTATGAAAAGAAAATTTAAAATAAAATTATTAATAAAGTAAAGAAAAATTATATGAAAAATAACTAAATTGGTCTTTACAACAACTTCAATCAATGCTGTCAAAAAATCAACTCCAACCTTACTTATTGTGATCATTACATATATTATAGGCAATTAGTAAAACTATAATCACAATTTAGAAATTTTACAAACACATTCAACAACGCTTTACCTAATATAGCATTTTAACAAATTAATAAATCAATTGTGATAGTATCAGAATATTATGAATAGTGCAAAGATTAAGCTATTGCAATTAATAAATTGGTGTAGTATTAATTATATAAGGAGTATTAAATTACAAAAAAATGGAATTACAACTGAATTGAATCTTTCATCATAGCACATTGTTACACAAAAGGGATAGTGTGAATAAAGAGAACATCAAGCCTGTAATTGGAGACAAACCAGCTGAAAGCACAACAGTTAGATGATTACAAAAATGGGAAGACCGGTAACGAAAGTGTGTTTAATTGTTTATCACCATAACCGGAGGACTATGGAGAAACATTCAAAGCTATGACCCAAATTTCATTACCACGACAAATCCGACAATTAGAGGACTTGAAATTGGGGGAAAAACTCATCAAACCAATACATCTATACTAACAAAGGTAAAAATTGATGGCTGAGTCAGGATCTTAATATCCTCTCTATTCAGTCTTCATTGCTGTAATATATGAGCAAATGGATTAAAGGTTTGGGAGAAAAACTACATAAACCATATGGAGATAGATTGATCAGCGAGTGGACTTGTGTATTACTACCGTGTATTTGACAAACATGGTGTGAACCATAATCAAGTTTACGCGCTGCATTTAAGAGAGCAGCAAAACTGCGGTTGTGGACAATTACAAAATTAAAGGTGAAGACAATTCTTAAAATTGAACTCACCCGCAAGTAAATACAAGTCATTGAAAACTATATTCACTATCCAACAAATTTAAAAGTTTTATCAGATAGAAGGCTTACCATAAAGGTTTCAAGCCTACACCAATTCTTCTTATAGCTCACCATGTCAACTGAAATAAAAGCAATCCCAACTTAATACAGCGGCTCTTCTCAAAACAGACAATCTTTTGATGCATTTCTTAGGAAAGATCGAAGCTTATACAGGAACAACAGATAAACAACCCAGCATTCTGCATTTGATTGACAGTGTCATTAAAAAAGAAATCATTACTAAAAAGTGTAATTCAATATATAAACATCACTTCTTAGCATGTGTCTATTTTTACTACCTTATAGATCCACAGCATCCCAGGTCATATAGCATATATAAAGAACTTGTATTTCTTAACTCCCTCTCAAATATATATATATATATATATATATATACACAGGATATTTACAATATGACTAAATTGGGAACAGAAACCAATAGTCAAAATAACCCTAAACAGATAAACAACTGTATCACAATAGGAATAGCAGTTCAATAATTCAGTTTTTTGATATAAAATTGGCTCAAAAGAAAAGAAAACCAACAAATTGAGTATATCATGTTTGATCATTAAATAAGGAGATAGAGAAAAAGTGCAAAACCACACTAATACCAATATAATGAAATGGAATACCAAATTCCAAAAGATAAAATAAACTTCAATAGGATGCAATATATGTTTAGAACCTCTTACTAAATATTTTGTCAATTTGCTGGGATTTACCTTACACAACTGAGTATCGCCCTGGCTGAGCTGAGCCTGGAAGTGATGTTACTTGCATAGTTATGTCCTCTAAAACACGTTTCAACTCAGACTTTGCCCTCTTGACAGATTGCTCTGTAGGGCCCTCGATGAACAAGTATAATTTTCTTTCCCCTGGTCCAAGTACCTTCCCAGGTGGGATATAATAGCCCCTGGTAGTGATGGCAGCTCCAGTCCATTCTGAAATAGGACCTAGGGTCTCTTTGTGTGTCACTTTCCAACGAGCATTTTGAGGAAAATCATTAATTTCCAACTCGGCTTCATAATGCTCAGGCATGACCTCATTCTGAAGCTTAGCCAAGTTCTGCTGCAAATTCTTCGCAGCAAGAAATGCCGCTGTTGTAGCTGATATATCGTTAGGGGCAATTAGGAGTCCATTACCTTGAAGAATATTGGAAAGGGGTCCGGGTACTCCATTATGATGCTGCATCTGAGAAATTGGGACAGGACCTGCATGTTGAGATGCACTTGCTGCTTTTGTAGCCGCAGCAAGAGCAGCAGCTACAGCCACCTGCTGAGAGACATCACCCCCTGCTTTTCTAATTCCTTCATCTTCATCCTCTGAATCTGATTTGTCTTCCTCAAAGCCATACTCTTTTGCCTGAGCTTTCTTTGCGGCTTTCCTCACCTCATCTTCCTCTTCATTAAATTTAAAGCCACTGCCTCCATAACCAGTACCATGAGCCTGTTCAAGTCCCTGATTAACCTTTGCCATGAAACGATCAGCGAGCACTTTCAGGTCATCAGGAACAACTTGCTCAGAGAGTTCTAGAGCTTTTACAAGATCAGGTGCATATCTTGCATCCTCTTCAGATATAAATGTGATAGCACAGCCTTTATTACCAGCTCGCCCAGTACGTCCAACACGGTGAACATAGTCTTCATAATGGTTTGGAGCATCAAAGTTGATCACCAGATCAAGATCCTTTACATCTAAACCTCTAGCAGCGATACTAGTAGCAATCAACAGGTTACATACATTACTTTTAAAATCTGCAATAGTGGACTCACGATCAGTCTGATCTTTTGCCCCATGAAGTGAAAGGCATGGATAACCATGCTTTAGCAAGTCCTTAAATAAAGCATCACATTTCTCCTGAGAGTGGACAAATACCAAAACTTTTCCTTTCTCAGACCATTCTCCAAGTATTTCCAGCAGTCTAAGGAACCTTTCACTCTCTGGCCTCACCTCAACTAATTGGGCAATATCTTTGTTTACAACACTCCTTCCACCTACCTGAATTTCAATAGGTTTGTTGAGTACTTTGCGTGCCAATGCCTCAACCTGACGAGGAAAAGTTGCAGAAAACAATACAGTTTGGCGGTCAGGACGCGTATTTTGAACAATTCTTGTGATCTGAGGTTCGAAACCCATATCAAACATCCGGTCAGCTTCATCCATGACCAAATAAGTGACTCTTCGCAGATTGGTAATTTTCCCACTGCTAGTACAAAGTATGTCAATCATCCTACCTGGAGTGCAAACAACAATCTCTGCTCCTCTTTTCAACTCACTAATTTGCTGAGCAACACCTGAGCCTCCATACACAGGAACACAGCTAAGGCCCATAACCTTAGCAAACTTTCTTATATCACTATGTATTTGCTGCACAAGCTCTCGTGTAGGGGCCATTACAAGCCCAATTGGTCCATCCCCAGAAGCAAGTGGAGGCTGATCCTTAATATGTCTCAACATTGGCAACACAAAAGCTAATGTTTTCCCAGAACCCGTCTTTGCAATGCCAATACAATCTCGGCCGCTCATAATTATTGGCAAAGACTGAGCCTGGATTGACATTGGCTTTTCATAATTAAGTTTCTTTATTGTATCCAAAATCTTAGTGGATAATCCAGTTTGGTGCCACGTTTTAACTGGCTTCGGCACGTCTTTTCCATGGATCTTCAGTTCCAATTGCTTTCTGTAAGAGGCCACCTCTTCAGAGGTCATTCTTGAAATTTCCCTTACTTCAATATAAAAGTTCTTCCGGAAAGAAGGATATTCAATTTTTGAGTGGTCAACTATAGATAGTTTCTCAGCCTTGGTCTTCTTAACCCGTTTCATAAATTCTTCATCATCTTCATCATCCGAAGGATCTTCATCATTCCTAAGTTCATCATAATCTGAATCAGAGTCTTCACCAGGCATGATTCTTCCCATTGGTTTTCGGATGCCTTTCCTGGGTTGCTCTTTCTTCCTTATAGCATTTCCGTCTTCCAAACCAGATTTTGTATATTCAACAGTGGTCTCAACATCGTTCAGCTTTTCAACTTCAGGCAACACCATAGCATTCATGTATGCATCTAACGGGTCAATTTCTTCATCATCCATAGGAGCATCATTTTCAGCATTCTGTGAAACTTCTAAATCAGACAAGGCGTTCGAACTTACTAGGACAGAACCATTTCCATCCAAGGGCTTAGCAGATTCATCTACATCCATATCAATGCCTTGTTTTTCCTCAAACACTGCATCTTCATCATCAGATTCTCCTTCCAATGTCCAAGTCTTGCCTGACTTGGGTTCATCGCTCATTGCTGCGACTCCAAGCTTTTCTCTCTCAGACTGCTCCTTTACCCTTCTCAACTCCTGCCATTCCTGAACTCTCCTTCTTCGCTTCTCCATATCATCTTCAAGTTTCCTTTGTTCCTCAGCTTGCTCTTCTTCCAGATTCTTCTGTTTCTTTTCCAATGATTCATTGTCACTTTTTTTAGGTGGGCTAACATTTCCGTTGTCATCAATAACCTTACTAGATGGCTTACTTCGTTCATGATCCCTGCTTCTCTGTTCATGCCTTCTCCTCCTTTTTCTTTCAAGTTGTCTTGCATTGGCATCATTATCATCATCATCAGTGACATAATCATGGCGCTTCTCTTTTTCACGAACCTTCTTCTCTCTGTTCCTTTCCTTGTCTTCCCTATCCTTGTCCCTTTTATCCTTCTCTTGCTTCTCCCTTTCCCTTTCTTTTTCCCTATTCTTATCCCTTTCTTTCTCTCTCTGCCTTTCTCTTTCAGGATCCTTCTCATTTTCTTTTTCTCTCTCCTGATCCCGTTCCTTTTCTTTCTCTCCTTCACGATCCCTCACCTTATCTTTCTCTCTTTCACGATCCCTCTCTTTATCGCGCTTTTCCCTAGCACTCTCTCTGTCCGATCTATCCTTTTCTTCATCTTTACCGGCCTTGTCCCTGCTACTTCTTTCCCGCACTTTCTCTTTATGCTTATCCCTGTGCTTCTCCTTCTCCCTTTCCCTGTGTCTTTCCTTGTACATATCCTCAACTACCTTCTCCTTATCACGGCGATCCTTCTTATCATGGTAGTGTTCCCGGTCTCTATCTCTATGCCGCTCTCCACTCTTCTCTTTATCTCGGTCAGAGTGGCCATCCCTGTCACGGTGGCTTTTCCGTCTAGGCCCCTCCACCTCCTTTTCAGAGTCAGCTCGCTTAGATGACTTCGGCTTTGGTTCCTCCATCAGAACAAAAGCAACCAACTACGCAGAACAACTGCACAACCAGGCATAAAAAGTGAGCACAAATAACTTGAAACTCTTTATGTATATTATCATAAAAATAAGTAGTCTATTAAACAGCAAACAGAGAGTGAACATAAACCCATAATAAGCTTGAGATCAATTGTTTCAGTACTAAATGCACATAACTATTGATCATTGTTAATTAATTTCTGGCTAAGTAGCACCACCGCGGAAACGGGAAACTATAATCTCAAAATATCAATACACTGGTACTGCAAGGAAACTCCTAACTAAAAATTAAACTTTTAGCAATATAGGTCATGTTTACGCCCAACAAATAAGAAATAAACAAACCAAGCATATGTCCTTTTTTTAAGAACATATGTCCTTGTTATAATCCACAGAGTTGTATTATCAAAACCTGCTGAAGAACTCCCTGACCCATTCCCACAGTCCCACCATCTACAAGAACCAGTAACACTCGTACGTTCCATACTTGAAGATTAAATTTAGGAAGCATTACTCTGGTCTCTGGCAGCGATTAAATCTGAAGCTCGCCGCCTCACCTAAATGCCCAATAGCCGTCCAGCAGATGCCCGATACTCTCTGCGTCTACCGTCTGTGTGCGTCGCCGGATGCTTCAAGTCCGACTCGGACTTTCTTCTTCCCGTCGAGTCATCGACCGTCGCTGCCGCAGGTATTCTTTCAGCAAGGACTGCCAGACCAAGGTATTTTTTTAATAATAAAGAAACACGTCAGTCCAATTTTTTCTTTCGAAAAAAAAATCACGTCAATCCCATTAAAAAGGGGAATAGATCGGGAGGGAAGAAAATAATGGAATTTCATCAGTATGAATTATCGTTAAAAAGGGGAATTTTATCGGAAATAGATGAATTATCAATTCAAGACTCAAAAGATGAAATATATCACTATAAGACTCGAATGATGGAAAACTATCAAGGACATAACATTTCATAAGTTTTGATTTATTTAATTTTTTTATTTATTACATTGCTAAATTTTTAAAAACTTTTCTTCACAAAAGTTCATTAGTTAATAAAAGGGTAATTTTTAATTTGCACTCCACTTTTTGGGTTACATTGGACTTTGCACCCCATTTTCAAAGCTTTTAGACTTTGAACACTATCTACGACATTTCGTGAAGAAAAAAATTTGAATGGGGTATGAAGGTAGAGACATTTTAGGAGAAATAGGGTGCAAAATCTAAGAGTTTTAAAAATGGGATGCAAAGTCCAATATTACCTAAAAAGCAGGGTGCAAAGTCAAAATATCCCTTAAAATCTGAGAGTTTTAAAAAAATTTAAATAAAAAATAATAATAAAATTCATGACAACTTAGGTCTTATATTGATAGTTTTCAATCATTCAGGTCCTAAGATAGTTTTCCATCATTCGGGTCATATATTGATACATGTCATCTTTCAGGTCTCAAATTGATTATTAATCTATCTTTCGTGTCCTGAATTGATAAAATTCCAATAATATATTACCTTCATTTCAAAAACTTTGACTAATTATATATTTTTATAGAAATATTTATAATTTAAATATTATATGAAAATGTTATATATTTAAAATACTTTCATAAAAGTATAAAATTTATAATATTTTACTAATTAAAATTGTAGTTGATTATTTTTAAATGGCAAGGTTACGTTTTTGGGAACGGGGTAGTATCATTTTTTTTTCAAAGTTTTTCCAAATATTCTTCCAAAATAAAAAAATCAAATACTTTAGAAAAAAATACAAATACAAACTACTTTAAAATTTATTTTCAAAGTAGACTATTTGTTTTAAACAAACTTACTGAGACATCTGCTCTTCAAACATGCACTCAGATTAATTGCGGAGTATTAACTAAAAAATGAGTATCAACGCTCTCTACCCTCTCGTTAGGGTTTCCTTCTTCCGCCAAGTCTTCATCGAAGAAGTGCGGCAATTTCAATTAGCCTTGTGATTTGTAATCTTCGTTTTCGACGCTTCTCATGCATATGCTCGGTACGGCGGCTTGTGAGGAGAAATGCCATGGAGTCCATCATTAACAAATATGATATTTCGGCTATCATAGGGGAAGCGGAGCAAATTGGTGAGAGCATGAAGGATAGGGGTTCGGATAAATTTTCTAGGGGTCAAAATTTTCTTCTTCCATATTACAGTAGCTCGTCCTCCTTTGAAACCTCCTCCATGTGAGGAAGCAATTTGAGAAAAGTTTTTATTTTTCGTATTATTTTTTACCTACCCCTATGAGAGATATAGACCAAACAGAAAAGACTATGCACCGTAACTTGAATTGTTGGTCTCATAACTTGGAAAGCATGTCATTAGAGCAGGAATCATGTTTGAATGCAATAGTGGAGGTGAGATTTATATTCCTTGAATGTGTATGTCCCTTTCTCAATCACCATGACTTTTTAAACTTATCATAAGAAAATTTCTTATGACAGTCTCTTATGTTATGACAATCAACATTCAACAAATATCAAGGACATTCAATGAAAAGAGTTGAATTATATTTGTCTATACCTTTTTTTAGTCATGAGCAATTGTATGTGGCATTATCGATAATTCAGATCAAACATAGGTTGAAGATCTTATTAATACACGATAAAGATGGGAAATCATTAAACACTACTACAAATACAACAACATCCAAGCCTTAGTCCCAAACGATATTGGGGTCGGCTAACATGAATCGATATATGATATCACCAAAAGGAAAAGAACGAAAATAAAGATAAAAAAGATAAGCTATTATAAAAATATATAAGGATAAAAATATAAAATAAAAAAAAGGAGAAAAGATGATACAAGATCACTCTTCCACACGAATACCCGCCCTCCATTTTGCTCTCTCCAAAGTCATACTCTCATCCAATCCAAGAAGAAGCATATCACTTCTGACTCCCCTAACCCACGTCTGTTTGGGCCTTCCTCTCCCTCTCTTCCCTACCTCTTCTCCACACATTTCAACTCGTCTGACAGGTGCATCACTCGGTCTTCTATGCACATGACCAAATCACCGTGCGTTCACACATATTAACTAAAGTGGTATTTAAAAAGATTTTCCCAAACCTCTAATGATAGTATGTGAAAATCATTATCACACATATTAACTAAAGTAGTAGAGTTCTAATAAATAATGTCATTTACATTTAACTAATACTAGTGAACACCCGTGCGTTGCACGGATGAATATGCCCACAAGATAATCTATTTGATGGTTAATATTCACACTTTTCCATCTAAAATTTGAGCATATGACATGAGATTGTGTTAAAATCAAATGTAGTGTTAAGAGATACTCTACTTGTTACTCCCTCCCACTACTAGAAAACTGGCTTACAGTGACACTCTTTTAGTGACACTTTCTGATAAAATGCCACTAATAACACAAAAGTGTCACCGTTTTCTAAATTATTCTATTTTGGGCCGGACTTAGGGATCATTTCCTAACACTTCAACTTTCATTACGTCAACTAAACTTCCGCCCGCCCCTTAACCATACTCTTTCATACTGCGAACCCTAACTCTTCTTCAGGAGCACGCTTTCTTGGCTTAGCCGCATGACTACATGGATCTCCTTACAGGTCTTCTTCGATCTTTGAGCTATTCTCATTCATTTCGTGTGTGTAATTTGTCCTTCATCTCCTCCTTCAACCATCCTTCTATCGTATAATTTGAACTAGTGTCGCCGACTTTGATGTAACCACGGGTTCTCCGGGGTGATGCTCTCCCATCTGACGATTATCGAAGATTCGGAAGAGCTTGTGCCAAACACCCCACTGCCGATAGTCCCATCGGACCAACACCATTGTTAGGGCTAAAGTCGCATCCTCTCTGTGAAATTCAGACGGTCCCCACCCAGATAAAGACAGTGGTTTGTGCCGATACACCTTCATCGCTGAAGTCATTTTCTCAATAGTTCATCTCTTACGAGTACTTCTCTCTAATATGATTTCTTCACTCAAGACACACACATATATACACATATATCTTCATAATTATGTTTTAATTATCTGATATTGGTGATTGTTTAGGTCTTTTCCATCGAACCATAACATGTTAATTTTCAATTTTGATATTATACATTTATATTAAAGGTTCTACTCAGATGTGGCTTCTTTAGCGGCTCAGTTCACTTATTCTGGGAAGTATGGATATTTGTTGTGTGTCACTTTGATTAATTTCAATGATCACCAGTAACCAGTAAGTGCATATGTCCAGAGAATAGGAGTTATTGTTAATTATATTATATTTTAATTTTTTATGTGACTAGTGCAGTCGATTTTGTGTTTTCAGTTAAGCCTTATACTGAATGGGCATAGAAGTTTCTGTATCTGTTTTTTGCCACAAACAAGGATTCTGGTCAGGAGAATTGGAAGGAGGGGGTATGAAAGAGTAGAGTCCCATGATAGAGGAGCTAACAATCTTCAGCTTTGCTGAAAGGTAAGCCCCTCTACCAGCTTTGTACTCCAAAGCCGAGCCCAACACTTCTCACAGAAGGCAAAGGAGTTTCCACTCTTGCTATCTGTTGTTTGTAGCTAACAAAACTCAACTCTTATAGCTAACAACCTTATGATGTTATAGTTGTGCAGATTTTTACTCAGTGAGTCAGTGCGCATCTAACTACACTACAAGAAATATGGGCATTTGCGACAGAAAGTCAAGAATAATAGAAATGAAGGGGTTGATTAAAGCTTCTCAATAATAGGTACGAAGTATTTTTTATTGTTCGTTTAAGATTTAATTTGATGAAATGAAAGTCAAGAAGATGTAGGTGATGATAGAAATGCAGGGGTTGATTAAAGCTTCTCAATAATAGGTATTTTTTATTGGCAAAATTAGATAAGACTCACTTTGCTAGGCTACACAACAACAAGCTGCTTATTCCAAGTGTTGTTGATGATAAGGTTCAAAGTTTGATATCATTTTTTTGGCCTATATGAAAGGAAACGAATGAATAAAGTGAACTAAATGTTAGTATCCCTGAAAATGAGCAAGTATTCATTATTTCATTCCCAACCTTGTAGAGCGAGATTCCAGATTTGGGATACAAAATCACTAAAGCTTTCTTATTGCAGCTTTGTACACGTGAGACTTCTCTATAAAGATTTGAAGTTGGTCCTGTTTTTGAAGTCATCTCTTTGACATGCCTTATCGGAAAGGTGTACTTCTAATCTCTCCCTTTAATTCATGATGAAATGATAATTAAACTTGGAATGAATTATTTAACTATTGTTATCATAGTCTTGTAAATTCAATTTTCATGTAATTTAATGCTTTGATTTCGTGACTATGTTAAGGGTCTAAGTACTCTCTAGAAGAGGATTTATTTGTACATAAGATGCTGTAGAACATGCCTTTATTGATCTATTTTTTATTATGAATTTGTTCATTTGATTTCATTTGTGCAAAAGGCCTTAGTCAGCTTTTAGCAGGTATCAATCGGTCTGAATATTTAAGTACATAATATTCATTTATGCTTAATTTTCTAAGTGAAAAATGAAAAGCAGATAGCAACTCACCCTGAATTGTACATGTTATGATATGAAATGAACTTTCTGTATATTATTTGTGATTGATAGGGTAGTTCCCAATGGATTGTCAGGAGGAGATCCAATGACAAAGGTAGATAGTTATCCTTAGCTTATGTCCAAAAGATAGACAAACTCCTTATGGCCTTACATTAGCGGCCATAGATGATTGGTTTCTTCCACATAAATATATAGCAAATGTAATTAATTTATTTTTCTTTTTCTGTGCTTTGGTGCAGAT